TCATGAAGAATCATGTAGGCTGAGAGGCAGATTTCTTTAGGTTGAGTCTGAGACAAAAACCCTGTGTTTGGCGTTGTCTTTTGTAGTTGACTCAGCTTAAACTGTGACTCCTTGGAGACAAATAACAGGATGTTTACACCAGTGTTGTGCATGAACGCTGAAAAGAGTTCAAATGCTATATGATATTTTTTGGTAAATGGCAAACTGAATGCATCACTTTGCAACTATTGAACTTGAACATGAGCGTTGTTCACTGTTACGATGATCAACCATGCTACTTTGGCACCAAAGGATTTTTGGTCGGAAAAAGGATTTATGGCACCAACACCAGGATAGCTAGTGTTAATTGTATAGTGCAGCTACAGGTACTACTGGAGCTAGATCATAAGGATATTTGCAGGACTTTAATGAGCAAATCAGTGCAGATTCCAATGGAAAAAAAGTCACATTTTTATGCAAACTGTGGCCATCAGGTCTCAAAAAACCGAAAGTGAACCACATCAGCATTAATTTAATAAAACAAGGTGAAGCATCCAACCAGTCTTGGGAAATATGAGTGATGATCACAAGATGTTATTTTATCTAAAATTGCAATTCCAATTGCTTTTATATGCCACCCTCTATTAGTCCAATTGGGTTTACATTAATGTCTGCCAAGACTCATACAGTAGACATGCTTCATATATCAATGTTGCTGCAAAGAAGCAGCATATTCTAAAATGTAGATGATTGACATACATATTCATTCGTTCATTCATTAGTGTCACCAATGATCAGAATCTGACCAAATGTCACCCCTTCGGTTTCCTGGGTTATGATGTTGAAAAACGGCCAAAAACCTGTTTTTGCAGAATACTACAATGTCACAGTGAAGTTGACCTTTGACCTTTTGGATATAAAATGTCATCACCTCATAATTCTATTCTACTCAATTTAGTGTCAGATTTTGTCACAATTACTGTATGAATTCTTGAGTTCTGGCCAAAAACATGTTTTGTGAGGTCGCCCAAGATTAGTGTCACCAATTGAGGTGACCAGTGAAGTCACAGTAACCTTGACGTTTGACTTTCGACCATTAAATTCTAATCAGTTCACCCAAGTGTGCATTTGTGCTAAATTTAAAGAAATTGGTGTTCTTGAGATATTGCGTTCACAAAAATTAGATGGACAGAAAACCCACAAACATAATGCCTCTGGCCATGGCTGTCACCAGTGCAGAGGCATAAAAGTCGTGGACATGAATGTGCAGTTAATTTTTTGGGACTGTGACCTTTGTTCAAAATTCAAATTGTGAACTGAACAAGTGCATTTTAAACTATGTGAACTGAACTTTGAGCTAGCTATTGTGAAGTTTTAACTTCATGTAACATTATGTATTTTCATTGCTGTGATATTCCTGTGATATTGCCCTTTGACCTTAGAGACAGTATTTGAAAAAGATGATGAAAATAAAGTCTTCTTCTGGGTAACATATCCACATATGTCCAATATGCACAGCAAATTCAATTATAACTCAGCCCTTAGATTTTAAGACACAGTATCTAATTATGGATAAAATTTTTGGTTAAGGACAACCTGGCACTCAAAGAATGGTTACCAAAATCAAGACAAACCATTATCTGAGGACTATGATTATTTATTACACCTTTAATGTCAACTGTCAGAGTTACCAGTAGACAAATCAACATCCTTGAGTGATTAATTTTCTAAGCTGCTACATTAAAAACTGTTATATTAATAGCAGATGACATGGCTACTTCTGTAAAAAAACAAAACAAAAAAAAACTGATGTAGCCTCCATGATGTCACTCATTGGTTTGTGAACTAACATTTTGAAGCCTCGAGTTAGGTATTTTTGCTGTCACCAACTTGGATTTCTGGAGCCAGACGTGACCATATTTGGAGATAACTTAAACACTCGTGGCTAACATTAGCTTGGGCACCGAAAAGCATTCATAGCTATGGTTTGAAATGATAATACTAATGCTAATGCAGTTTTTTTGTTGGCGAAAAACAGGCTTAAAACCATTAAAATAAAATGTACTTACCGGAATATCTTAATATGTAACCCCTTAGAGGGACTTGTAGGACAACGAAACACTGAGCAAGACTTTTTTAAGCGACCAAAATCTTACAATTAACATTCATGAACTAATAACACACTGAAGTACCAACAGCTATAGCTACGTCTGTGAATCTGGGGTTGGGCCATGGTTAGGATACCAACTTTGTTGACATGGAGGTGACTTGTCTATGGAGGGCACCCACCTGTCACTCAAAGCAGCCACATCCTTATTTATGCATAACTTTACATCTTAACAAAATGTAAACGAGTGAGTTATAAAAATTCACCCCCAGTACAGCTACAGCTAGAGACCAAGACTGTTTTATGTACCAGGCTGTACATAACAAACACTGGGGGGGTCTATGGGGACTCACTTTAGGAGCCAGCCTCGTGTGGACATTTGAGGAAGTGCAGTTTTTGCCACTTCCGCATAGGCTTTATTTTCAGCCCTGGAGATTGCCACGTGGTATAAGGTGTCGCTGATAGTGATGCAGCTACATGGAATTATCACTAACTGTGCATTTCCCCTCAGCTATATAGAGCTTGAAATCTAGATTCACTCTTTGTTTAGGTTTTGTTTTTGGTTCACATCTTTAGTGTTTTGGTTCAGTTTCACTGCTCTCATAGCATCGTTTCCAGCAGCAGCAGGACAGCTTTGATAAACCCGCTCAACACAGCAGACAGCAGAGTAACCAAGTAGTTCACAATATTTTTTTTAACTTTTTGCTGAATGTTGAGTCCAAATTTGTCAAAATAAGATAAGATACGATACAATAAACCTTTACTGATCCCACAATTGAGGAATTCCAGTGTTACAACAGTCAAGGAGAAAGAGTCAGATTAAAAATTCCAAAATTTGAAAACTTAAAGGGACATTGTGTAACATTTTCAGTTGTTTATTGGCAAAAAATGATGTCTGCATTCATAAATATGTCATCACTGGTGTACTATTACCTCCACCAATAATCTGACTTATTCTCGTAAAAGGAGAATTTCGGATTTGTTTGTACATTGTGCGGGTAAGTCGTCTGTGGGGTTCCATTACGTTTCGCCATCTTGAGAATACACCCGCCAGCAAGGGACATACAGCACCGCCTTCTGCGTTTTCGTTGAGAGCCAGGCCAGCACTGCGTGACTGAGGAGCCGAAGGAGAGGAGCAAGAGGCGCTTCGCTACTACCCTGGCAAATTTGAAACAAAGCCCCACTCTTTGAGCATAATGCAGGATCATGCATATGCAGCATCATGGGAGACAGAATCCTTGTTGCCAAGAAAGTGCAAAAGGGAATAGAAAAGGCAGCGTGACCGGCGAATTAAAAAAAACGAAGGCCCACATCGAGGTAGCCTTTCCCAGGTAGAGAGAGCTGCTGAGGGAGAATGGTAATGCAATCACAGGCCAGCGCCACTGTTGGCTGTTAGCCGCTGTTAGCGGCCAGTCGCTAACAGCCTCATCCCTCTCCTCGCATCACTGCGCCGCTGTTAGCTGTTAGCCGCTGTTAGCGCTGGCCTGTGATTGTATTACCTTTCTCCTTCAGCAGCTCTCTCCACCTGGGAAAGGCAACCCCAATGCTGACCCTTGTTTTTTTAATTCGCCGGTCACGCTGCCTTTTTGATTCCCTTTTGCACTTTCTTGGCAATGAGGATTCTGTCTCCCGTGATGCTGCATAATAAATGATCCTGCATTATGCTCAAAGAGTGGGACTTTGTTATGCGGCAGTAGTGCCGCTAGCCACTAACAGCTGTTAGCGGCGCAGTAATGCCAGGAGAGGGATGAGGTGTGTGAGGTTGAGCCACTTGTCAGTTGTCAAAGAACAAGACGTGATTGGTTTGTTTCAATTTACATCCGCCCCAACAGTCCTACGTTGTAAACACAGCCAGCATGGTGAGGAGGGGGTTTGTCAACTCGCGTCGCGTGTGTCTGTGTGGGAGCCTGAATGAATACTCCATGTAGTATCGGATGACATGGTTTCATCAGTGTTATCATAGCTTTTTGGTACACAGCGGCTACAGTTGTTGCAATACGTGTTTGAAACAGTGAGGCGCTAGAGTGCGCCATCTGTTTGAATACAATATATGATTTCAACATTAGATGGGAGAAATTCCTACACACTGTGGCTTTAAAAACTAGGCATGCAAAAAAAAGTACAAATACAAGAAACGGCAATAAATAATAATAAAGAGAAGTGGATAATAATGAGCAATGAATAAAAATAAGCAGTGGATTAAACACTGGATTAAATTCTACGTTCCATGCTTATGTCAATCATTACCATTCTGTGTAACATGTACAAAAGAAGTTATGCTGCACTGACAAACCTCTTGACCTGTCAAAACAGCAGAACTAGTACTAATTCAGTGTGAAGTTGAGAAGATGCAGAGGTTACCATGATACCTTTTTGCAGATTACATTAATCTTACAACATATTTTATGATACCACCAAATCCCCTTGACTAAGTCATTATACTCGTACTCATACACCAGTAACATGAAACACTCATTAATCAACCTATTCTCTAAGATTCTTTTGAACTTGCAGTCAATAGTGCCTGATTTACAGTACTACTCATTTGAAACATCCCCATATTTCATTACAATGTATTGTAGTAGGAACTGTCTTCCAAACAAGCTCAAAATTCCCAATATATTTACTCTCTCAGAGACATTTCTTTTTTATTTTTAGCTGTCAGTGCCTCAGAGCCTCCCACATGTTAAAGGTTGTCACTTTTTCAAGTTCCTTGTTCACACCTGAAGCAAAAACCAAGTAATACATGTTTGAAAATGCACATGTATTCTGACTGCTTGGAGTGTGCAGTGCAGTGCAAAGCTTTCAAGGAGCTGTAGCCATTTTCATTTCACACTTTGTGTGTGTGTGTGTGTGTGTGTGTGTTGTCTTGGGTCCTGAGAAAATGCATTATGACACAAGGTGTGAGACTTACCATATCTGTGTCAGACACTGGACCAAAACTGGTCACATAGATGTCAGTCTTCACTTCCGTTACTCGGTCTGTGACGACAAAGAGTGAAAGTCATAAAAGAAAATCATAGTGCATAAAAAAATCACAACCTTTATGAGTCATAGTGGAGACAAATGAGTTGGGAGAACTGACTGAACAAGATCTATTCAACAGTGTACTTCCTAAAGGTTGGAGAGCGTGTGTGAGACAAATTAATAAATGAATGATCAAAATTTAAGTAGCAGAGGACAAGGTATCCTGATGGGTACAATCAATGCTAATAAAATTAGTTGAAGAATGTGTAGTGCAATGAGTTGGAAAATGCAGGCAATTCATCAAGTAATTAAAGTGACATCATTATATGCCTATAGAGTCAATTAAACTTGCATTAATAGTATTTTCAGCCACTTAAGGAAAATGTAATCCGCTGTGAACAAAATATTGACATATCATCAGTTGGTACTATATGTTATCAAACAGTTGCTTATCTACACGGACACAGAGCAGCATTAGCATTCTTAAGGGGTTTTATTTGTGTCCACCTAAAGAATGTAACCTCAGTAGTCACTCCTTTTTTTTGCTCTGATTTTGGTCTCCACCAACTCCTGAAAAAGTGATTTAAATACTAAATGCCTCTCTATGTTCTCTTAAACAGTCTCATGGAAATATGTGAAATGGAAGCGATCTGTTAACATGCTGATTGGCACAAAATGTGTTAAAATTATGTGCTGGCGGGGCGAAAGTTAATAGTAGAACTGAGGATGTACCAGCAACTTTACAGTTAAAGTTAGACTTTGTTGGTAAATAAATGCTATAGCTCCTCCAGATCCAAGCCAAGTCCTTGGGTTTACCAGCCCCTGCTGAGTAAGGTGAAGGGGGTTAACATCGAAGTTACCTTCTGAGAACATCTGATGTCAGGACTCTGGACACAACTTTCACAGGACTGGGTCCAGGAAAAGTTTTTGTTTTTTACCAAGACATTGCTGCTTTTTCTGTGATTTCTAAAATGATTGATTTATTGATTGATTGATCAGAAATTCTTCAATTCAGCTACCAGCTGCTTTTGAAAACTAGGATGAGAACAGTGCTAAGACTGAACCAAAATAATAAAGCTGTGGGCTGTTTAACCAAAACAATGAGCTGAAAGGTGCTCAACAGCCTTGTTGAGCTAAGGGGAGGTGACACATCAGATGATTATAAGATACAGGTGATAATTCTTTGTAGGTTCATAGCTAGCAACACTTTTCATTCAACTGGTCATGTAATCCACAGTTAACATAACAATATAGATATAGATATGCTTTTAGGTTTCTGTCTCATACAATCCATGTTCACACATAATTATGCACAGAATGTATTTGCTTTTTTCATTTAAGCTAGTTTATGGGCATATGATTAATGGTCATTTCTTTGCTGCTGTTAATCATTATCATGGTGGCAATTTATTTTTAAAAATAATGTGACAAAAAAAGGCTTTACTAATTAAAGCCAGCCGCGTTTGCTTGTGTGAGACCTAGCTGTCATGGTTTCCAGACCTCCTCCCATATTTGCATAAATCAAGCTGCAAGTGGTCACGATTCAGGCTGCCACAGACACTATATCCATGCTTTCACAGTCTATTCAACACTTTTTAAAACAATGTTGGCGGAAGGGAAGAGGAAACATCACTTTAAAGACTCATTTGCATGGAAAAAATTGCACTTCTTTTCATTCTTTGTTCATCCATGAATCAAACATCAGTGTTGTCAGAACCTGCAGTGAGAGAGGTTAACTGTGTGATCCCTCTGCTTCATCACGTCTCTGACTTCTTACCTACTGTCGCTAAGGTATAAACACAGAGCCAACTGCCGCATTTCATCTTGTGTGGAGAGCCTGTCGAGCTTCCAAACATAAATGAAGCTTTGAGTGATTCCAGCACATGTAGGCATATACAACAGGAATGTTGCATTAATGTGTCAGTCCTGCACTGCCTGGGGTGCAGAAGGTGGCACTGACATCATTTACATTACATGTCTCACAAAAACGATGAACTCCTCAAGAATAAACACATTTCTTTTCAGGTGTATGACTCCTAAATGTCATCTGCACTGTAGATTGAACATACCTCAATGTGAAGATCACCACATTTATCATCAACACATACCTACACTATGAAGAAAAACTGAATCTGGCAACAACTCTGAAAGAGGTATTTCACTGCTGGAAAGATGGTCTTTTCATAAAATGGGTCATATCATTATTCCCATTAAATGAAACTGTTACCACGGCACCTTTAAACATGAGGATTTATTCACTGTGTGGTCTGGAGCCCCGCAGATGAGAAACACACCTCACCTGCCCACACTTTCACTCAGAAGAAAGTGGTCTGGATGTGTGTGATGTATGATTTTTGTGAGTCTTTATTTTTGTGTTTGTGTCTGTGAGAGATCAAGAGTTAGATGGGAGAGTGAGAGTACAGAAACGTTGAAGCGAGTCTCATTCTGGTAGCTTAAGAAATTACCATTTATACTCTATGTTTGTAGTGTAGCCATCATATACATCCCGTGTGAAACAAGCTGCAATACATCTGTTATAATCATATATCGCTCACCCCTATGCTGGATTTACAGAAATATTTGCCTCCAGAGGCTTTTTCTGGGTCAGATGATAGTCAGTGGGTTCAGAAATTGAGGAACCACAGCAGCTACACTTTATTGCCTTGTTTGGTGTGTGGTATTACCAGTCTTATTTGATAGTGGGCTGGGATCTTTTTCCAACAGCTGCTATAAAATATTGCTGTGGAAGGACTGAAAGTCTTGCCAAAGTCAGCACATTCCAAATACTACAGGTTAAATGCAGAATACACACAAGTAAAATGTTGATTTTGACATCATCTTTAAAATGGGCTTCATCTCAGTGAATCATGTGTGATGAACAGCCATAAAAGAACACGTCTGAGCAGTAATCCACCACAGCACATTAGCAGTGAAAAGCTGAAGGGTTCTCTTGACAAATGTAAAAATAAACCCTACTGTTAATCAGTGGAAACAATTGGGCTACCTCTGTCTCCTGTGCACCATGCATAAAATCAAAATTTCTCTGGTGACCTCTACTGTGCAGCCAACAGATCCCCTTCATCCATTTTTTTCTTGTTGCCAAGGCAGCAAGCTTTGGTGTCAAGTCCAACTAAGAAGACTAGCCAAGCCCAACCAGCTTTACCAAAGCAGCATCCCAGTCTCCATTACCTATCAGTTATGATCAATGTGCCGGTCTAAAGGTCTAACAATACTTCACCATGCAGACGTAATACAAATTGCCATAGTTTTTGACGGTAACAATATTAGAATTCACCTTTAAGGTACATTTAGTTAATATGTGCTGGTTCACTGGACATTACCATAACAGCAGTGTGTGTGTCAACTAATGTCTAACCGAGGTCAATACTGCACTCTTCCAGAGCTTTTAATCACAAGATGAGGGTGATAAGCTGCTGTTTTCAGACACCTGTCTTCATGTGAAGGCTGACAGGAGCATAAAGCCTACAGTGTACAGGAAAACATTGACACAGACCAAAATCCAATTTACACTCTGACCACCACTGACACCTTAAAGATCAGAGGTGAGGACCCTCCTACACAGAGCACCACATCTGTCAGTTAGGAGGAGGATAGAGAGAGAGGTGCAGCATATAGAGGGCACTCAGGGTCAACGGGTACAAGGAATGGATGATGAGAATCCCAGCCAGACAGACATTGCCAACTCAACAGGGACCATCAGACACATCTGACAGGGACTCTCTTACATGGCTGAAGTGCCTGAACATCGACATCATGCTTCTTTAAACAGAACTTGTGAGTTTGTGTTTACAACATGGGAAGTCGTGAACATAAACTCGTGAACTCTGAGCTCCACCTGCAAAGTTGGGAGTCAGCATTTTCCAAAAAACATTCAAAACCTCTTGATCTCTGCTGGTACACCCTTAAGTTCAATTTGATCCAGGTTCTGATCACCCTGGATCCAGTTTTCATTAAGGATGTCTTTGTGCTTTGCTCTGTTCAGCTTTCCCTTAGCAGAACCCCTGTCCCTGCCACTAAAAAACACCCCACGGCATGATGCTGCCACCACCATGCTTCACCATTGGGATGGTACTGTACAGGTGAAGAGTGGTGCCTGGTTTCCTACAGACATAATGCTCAGAACTGAGGCCAAACAATGTTGGTGCTGTCATGTGAGAGGCTTCCATCTGGCCACTGCCATAAAGCTCAACTGAGTGTAGTGTTGCAGAGATGGTTGTCCTTCTTGGTGTTTCTCTATTCGATCTGTGGAGCTCAGCCTAAATGACCATTGGGTTCTCTCACTCTTCAAGGCCCCTCTCCCCTGATTGCTAAGTTTGGCCAGGTGGTCTGTTCTAGGAGGAGTCCTGGTTGTTCCAAACTACTTACATTTAAGAACTATGGAAATCTTTGTGCCTGGGCACAATTCTGCCTCTGAGCTCTGCAGGCAGTTTTTATCCACCTCATGGCTTGTTTTTCCTCTGATATGCAATGTCAGCTGTGAGACCTTATAGACAGGTGTGTGTCTTTTCAAGTGATGTCCAATCAATTCAATTTACCACAGGTGGACTCCAGTCAAGCTATAAAAAAAATATTGAAGAGACATGAGAGGCACCTGAGCAAATTATCAAATGGCACAGCAAAGGGTCTGAATACTTATGTCAATGTGACATTCCAGTTTTTTCTTTTGATAAATTTGCTTAGAAATTCTACAATCCTGTTTTGGTTTTGTTACTGTGTTTTAGGGTTGTCATGAGAACCGATACTTCAGTACCAAGTGCCCTATGCGATCAGCAGAATGTAAAATCAGCCCACAGGATTTTACAGGACCCGGACTATATTCTGTGTCCTGAGTTTGAATGGCTCCCCTCAGGACGCAGACTACACTGTCCAGGCTGCAGGACACAGAGGAGGAACAAAACCTTTGTCCCCAGGGCTGTCCAGCTCCTCAATGCTGAACACTGAAGCACTATAAACACTTTAACACTTTTCAATCCATGCACTTTATAAATTATTAT